CGTCACGCGACTTGAAGAGCATCCTCAGAGGTGGAACTTATTCTTCTGATGAGTTTACGTTAACATTAGGTCAAAAAAATTGTATGGCTCTATCTCCTCTCTTATATATACTCATAACTAAAAACCGAAAATGAATATGTATAGATGGATATATTTCCTGTTTATAAGTAGGCTTTCGAGACTACTAGTAAACCATATATATATGGGATTAATTCATCCTATTTCGTTTAGGGTGATAAATGGACTAGTAGTTGGGTTATCTCACAACCATATGACTATAAATTATGTTTCCACTGAATTTCACATAACCTTGCTTTCCCAAAATATATATTCTCCTCCATGGTGAACTGCAGTTTCGGTCTCATATATATAATCCAATGGTAGCATTGAAATGCTACTTATAAGTGAAATTTAAGTAGTATAGTCGATTGTTATAGCAAATACAAAAGCACACTAAACTATGTGATATGATAAAAAGTCTGGCCTTCCTTGAAATTCCTATCCGCTCTGTGACCAGCAGACTCTCGTGGCATAGTGGCATGCTGCACTGTCATTGCTCGAGTCTCGCCAAAGGTATTGGTAAGACGTATGAGAGTCCGAAACAGCAGTCCATCTCAGAGAAGAATACTTTTTATGAAAGCCAGGCGATGTGAAATGCATTGGAAACGTCATGTCTACTCGCATACTTGTGGGCCAATTCAACGACCCGCATACATCACACACATGTGATCTACTGGTAGTCTCAAAAGCTTACTTATAAACGAAAGATACATTTATCTATGCCCATTCATTTTCCTTTTTTACTCATGAATCTCCTTGAATTGATGTTTGTTAACGTGAGACTTTTGCAAGAATGAGTTCCAGCGCTGATGATGTCCATCGAGTCTATTTCAACCTGGAACGAGGGCAGATGTCTGGTGAACTGTACCAAACTGGAGGTCGTATCAAAGCCAAACTGCCTCAGCAGAACGTGAATCAGCCGTCGCATTTTGGCAAGCTTCACCTCCGAATCACTTCTTCATGCACTTCCATACAAAATGAATGTCTCCCCAACAATGTTCTCTTGGCATATTCATCAAACCCAGCTACTCTTCACGTCCTTTGAGATGACAACATGTTGGTATGTCGTTCATCTAATCAGCACTCCTCCACAACGGCGCTATACGGTAGGAACCGAGTGTGTATTCCTGAAGTATCGACAGCTTCGGGGACTACTTCAATTCTCGTCGACGGTAATGGCATAGCCGAATCGGTCTCACCAGCAGCTGCCACACAAACGTGTGATTTGCACGAGTCGTGGTCTGCCAGGATGGATGCTCCTCTCCTCTCCTCTGACCCGGTGGTAGCCATGGCTGAGTGACAGAGTGATGACATGTCGTTCGGTGGTACGAGGATTCCCAATTCAGAGCTGTGATGAGGAAAAGTCTATTCATGCAATTGTGGGAAAAAGTTCACTATTAGCGCTTGAATGAGTCGAACCGACCTAGTCCAGGGAAACTATTCTATTCTACAACTTCACCTGTATACGGAGCCAGGGAGGGGGAGCAGGGAGGGAGGTACAGAAAAGGTCAGACAGAACATGACATACCCTTTTCGCCCGATCGGTGTCGTCTTGCGTCAACAGGTCGTCAAGTCTTGTCAGTTCGATACAGTCGAGGCCTTGTGCAGAGGAATAGATGTCTTGGCAACCTGTTGCCGTGGCGACGCAAAAGACCCGTTTGCACGGGGTGAGGCAGCAGGAGGAATTGCGTAGTTGCCAGGCCAATCGATCGAGCACTGATTGCGCTCAGTGACTGTTTGTGTCTCTCCTTCCTGCGTCCTACAACCAAGGCGACTAGCCAGTCGAGGCTACACAATCGGGCATTGCGAGAGTGGGTTCTGCACAACGCGTTCCCACGTGCTCTGTCTCACCTACAGACCGACATGCCAGCAAGCATTGCCAAGACAGTATGAATCGAGTGTTCACTTGGAAGCAAATGTCGATTTGAAGCAATTAGCAAATTGGTTACTGAATTAGACAATCGAAGACAAATTGATCGCCGTAAAGTGAAACCTGTGAGACAGTGCCAACAAATCCTCTCATCGTCTCAAAACTCTGATGAACACGTTCTCTCTCTTCTGTCTGCCACAGACTGGACTAGTATAAGACAAAAGAGCATGCAATATACAAAAGTACTAGGCTACACTCTACGATACATTTATATGCTTACTTGTATTATGCAATATCATACAAACTATACTATACAATATAATACAATGTATAGTAAAATACTCTACAATAAAGAGTATTATGCAATACTTTACCATACTAAACTATATTATACTATATATTATTAGGTAATATAATATTAAAGTGTTATACTATAGTACACCATGCTATACTATACTATATTCGTATAAGAGTAGGGTTTCAAGAATAGGAGTAGACTACTGGTAGTCACGACACCCTACTCTTATACGAATATAAGTAACATTGTCGATTACTATAGCAAACATACGTTTGCTTCATCGGCACTACCACCAAAGAATATGATATT